TCTGGGCCACGGTACTGAGCAACTCAGCAACTAGGTTGACGTCGCTGGGATATCTTTCTCAAGTTTGATTCTTCTGGCTTTTTTGTCGTAGTTTTTTGGAGATAATTTGGTACTGGTGGTGCCGTGCTTTCTGTAGTTTGCCTTGCCTGACTTTGGATTGCAGGATGTATGTATTGTTGGCATGCAGCAGTGCGTTTCAGAGGGTTTTCTTGCAAGGCCGGCCATGCAGCTTCAGATCTTTCCTTGATTGTATTCATGAGGGAGCGTCACGGTTCTCGCTCACTAGAGGTTTCAGCCTCAAGCCCAATGGCTTCATGGCTTCTCAGCAGGGGCGTTCTGGTGCGTGGGGGCAGGGGGGGGGAACCCTAAGCCCTCGTACCAGAATCCTCGCCTAGGCATGTCCGAGTGTGAGTGCTGAAACTCTAAGGGGGGTGACGGGGACTTTACAAATCAGCCCTCCTGTTCCTGACAATGGAGCCTAGCTGAGAGAGTTCCATCTGGAGGCCGCTGGCCTCGAACCCTAATAAGGGTTTCCGAGTATGTGTGTGTGTGTGTGCGTGCGTATATACATACATGTAGCCATATATGCAATTATACAGATACACACATGATATGTATGTATGTATGTCTGTATGTATGTATGTCTGTATGTGCGTACGTACGTATGTATGTATGTATGTGTGTGTATGCACGCATGTATGCATGTACGCACGCACGCATGCGTGCATGTGTATGTATATGTATATGTATATATACGTGTACATGTACATGTATATGTGTATATGCTGACTGTATATTGTATACGTATATTGTCTTATGTATCTGTATCTGTATCCGTCTCTGTATGTGTATGTGCATATGTTTTCGTATTTGTATATGCTTGGGTATATGTATGTGTATATATGTCTGGTAACATGTATACATATACATACACGCACACACACACACATATATATATATATACACACCTATAGACACACGCATGTACGCATGTGTTCATATATACATATATGTACATATATATATATGTATACATGTATATATGTATATATGTAAATAAATAAATAAATAAATATATGTATATGTATATATGTATATGTGTATATATGTATATATGTATACATGTGCACACAAACATATACATACGTACGTACATACATACATACAGACAGGCAGACAGACAGACAGACAGACACACACACACACACATACATACATACATACAGACATACAGGCAGACAGACAGACAGACAGACAGACAGACAGACAGACATATATACACACATACATACATACATACATACATACATACAGACATACAGGCAGACAGACAGACAGACAGACATATATACATACATGCATACATGCATACAGTTGCGCCCCGGCCAGAATGCACAGCGCACAACCATATCTACACATATACATATATACATATGGATATACATACATACATACATACATACATGCATGCAGTTGTGCCACGGCCAGAACGCACAGCGCACAACCATACCCATATATATATATATGTATATATATATATATTTCATATATGTATATCTCTGTATATATATATACATGTATATGAATATAGAATAAGTATAAATATAAGTACAAAAATACACACAAACACACACACACACACATATATATATATACACACATATATATATACACACACATACATGTACATATGTATATATATATACACATATATATATATACATATATATATATATATGCATACATATGTATATACATATGTATATACATATAGTCCGCCCCCCCCCTCCCTGGATCTACCATTTGTGGCTGGGTGAGCACCACCCCAAGGATCCTGGGTACAGGCCTTGGCCCCGGTACCAACCGGTACAACTTGGGGGGATCCAAGATTCCAAGGTCCAAGATTGCTGCAAGAAACTTTCTTGGAATCTGGGATACGGGTCAGGTACAACTTGTAGCGGTTGTGCCGGTTTGTACCGGATCGTGCTCCGGTATCCAAGATTCCAAGAAAAGACTCCGAAGCAATCTTGGAATCTTGGATGCCCCCGGTACCGGTTTGTGCCAGGGCCAAGGCCGGTCTCCAAGATCCAATGTCCGGTATGTTGCTGGCCGTAAGCGAACCAAAATATGAACGAACTTGGTGTTTTCTCCCTTCGTCACAGTGCGGCTGTATCCTTCGGGTCACTACCGCCCAGTCACGAGGAAGCTATCATGGAAGCACCTAGAATCTCATGGTAGGAGATGATCCGGAATCAGACTCTTTCACTTGATGGTAAAGCAAGGAACAAATTGAGTGAATGCATGCTTCAATCTTGTAATTGAACAAAACACCACCAGAACCCCAAAAGAGATCACTTCCATGTAATGAAAGAGATGAACATGCACGCTTCTCTTTGTTGCGCTTGTTTCTTTCCATATCGTTATATTCATTTGCTCTTTTGGCACGAGGAATCAAGTCCCCAAGTGGCTGGGTAGACATTCCAAGCGACACCGCGAGAGGTTGACAGTTCGTGGATGCGGAGTTTCGTTTCCACGTTCGTCAGCGGTGTTGACGGTTTTGGCGAACCAAGTATAAAGCACCAAGATGATGAATTACGTGTTATGTAGGGTTCGCATTTGTGCTTAGTCCAATGAAAGAGATAAAGCAAAGCAACGAAGTGTACGCTTCTCCGTTAGAGAGAACACATACGATATTTCGATCACCTAGACATACAATGGAAAGAACCACAGTAATGACATGAAATGAAGGTTGAAGACTGCACGCCTGCATTTTCGTTTCATTCATTATCTTTCCTCTTTTCATGTGCTTTCATTACGCTTCTTTGTTGAACAAACGGCCACATTTACACCTCCAGAGCAACAGATACACATGCAAAGGTAAAAGCCCTAATGGGACAAACGTGATGGAGTGAAGACAGAAAGCATGCTTTGCTTCATGGAGCTCTTATCTTTTCAATTTTTGCTGTGTTCTCTTCTGCTAAATGTCCTTTCGTTTTTTCGTTTACGCCTTTCGTTGATAGAACTATGTCACAGAATATCTAATCTGCTCAATTCATGCACCTCATTTTCGTAATAATAAAAGCCACGCATATGCTTCATTTCATTGCATTTCACTCCTCGGTTTCATGACATTAAAATGGGGTTTGGTTGCCAAACGCAGAGATGCGTCCCAATGAAAAGGACACGCATTGCACAAAAGGAATGTTAGATATGGGTCATAGGATGTGCAATTGTGTAGCTTGAATCCTTTACCATTTCGTTTTGTGCTCGTTTTTACAAGTTAAAGCGCCCTGCACAAAAGGTCAAATAAACATAAAGAAAAGAAAGGAGCGCGCGCTAGTTCTCTTCACTCACCGCTTCCCTTCTTTGGGTTTAATTGTAATAGCGTCAAAATCGTGCGTGTCCAACCTTTTGCATTCTCACCGATTTTATGCTGAAAAGATAAACCATGCTGTCTGTTTGCTGCATCTGCGTCTCCAACACACGAAAATAGTAGATCGGGGGTTGCAGATTAATCTATGTATATGTATGTGTATATATATATACAGACATACTGTATAATTAAATAAATAAACAAATAAATCTTATAAGCGTGTTAGTATGTATATTGAGATTTAGATTTCTGTATTCGTGTACACCACAAACCACTCCGAGGCCTGACGCCTTCGTCTAAGTCTGTACAGCACCTCATGTTTGCGTCGCTAGATGTCCCCCGAAAAAATGGCATTGGAGACGTCGCCCCGTTGCAAGGCCAAGGAGCTTCTGGATGCAAATGCAGCACAGCAGCGATACTGTTACTGGATGTACCTAGATCCTCCTAACGACCTGCACCAAATTCGTTGGGGTCGTATTTGTTGCTAGTGTTGGATGCCGGGGTATGGTCTAGGATTGGAGTTTTGCAGCATTCCTAGGCCTCACATAGATGTGATAACAACATTGTCAAGCCCGGCAGCTTCTTTAGCCTGCTCATTTCCCAACCTTTGGTATGCACTTTCCAGCTGGCACGTGGCAGATGCCCGACCGTGATCAACTGCATAGCTGCGCAGCCTACAGTACTCCCAGCTTCTAACCTTTGCCTGCTGACATCCTCGAAAACGGCACGAACTGGAAAGCAGTCGGGTGTGGTGCCTTGCCCGGTGCCCGGTGCCCCAGTGCTTCCTGACACATAACGAGCCCCTAAGGGTCCATGCGCATATACAGTTTGTATAACTTTGGCCCTAAAGTACCTATATAACGACTACTTCGAGGCAAAAGGTAATTAAATGCCATAAAGGTACAGGACCCCCAGGGCACAGCCACGGCTTTTTCAATTGATCCTTCCACCTCATCTCGCGAGCTTTGTTGTGAGCACGTCTTTCATCATCCGAAGGCAAGATGACACACGTGGTTGTCGCATCATAAGAGACTCCAATGTTGGCCCCCAAGTAGTAGAATCTGTCGTGATTATCAGTCCTAAATGACTACAGTCAATAGTCTCATGTAAGTTGCCAGGAGGAAGGCAGGGAGGCAACGTCGGAAGGAGGAGGATTTAGGATCTATAGGGTTTGGGATTTGAGGTTTTTGGTTTCGGGCTTATGGTTTAGGGTTTAGGATTTGCGCACCAAGGACCTCTACGAGTGCACGTTCACGCCGCGAATCAACGCCCAGCGGAATGAAGGCGAAGGGAGGATCCCGCTGTGCCGGCCTTAGTCGAATATTATTGCAATATATCATAGCATAGATGGCACGGCAGCGAGAGAGAGTGGAAGAGAGAGATTGAGCCAGAGAGAAGGAGAGAGAGCGAGAGGGCAGAGGGCAACCTCTACCCATAGCCCTGGCGAAAGAAAAGAGAGCGAGAGTATCTGTAAAACAGTAGGTTTCGCGCCGGAGGTGCAAGATGACTATATTGACGTTTTAGTGCTACAATATCTCGCAATTCTCCGTCCTCTCAAGAAATTGCTGCCTCTGGCAAGAAACACCCGCGAAGGCGTAGTCGAGCACACGTGAGCACAGCTTCAGCCATGGAGGAGGTGGCCAAGAGAGCAAGACTCGCCAGTCAGAACCTAGCCGGTTCTAGCGAAGGCCTGCGGAACAAGGCTTTAGAGGCCTTCAAGAAGCATTTGCTGGAGAAGCGTGCGCTTATCGAAGAGGCAAATGCCCAAGACAAGGCAGAGGCCGAAGTTGCAGTCAAAGCAGGCAAACTGTCCAGTTCGCTGTTCAAGCGTTTGGACGTTAGTGGCGCGAAGTTTGACACTCTCCTGAAGGGCATTGATGAGATCTTGAGCCTGCCAGACCCGATTGGCCAGGTAACGTATGCAAATAAGGTTGCTGAAGGTTTGAACTTATACCGGCTGACATGTCCGATCGGAGTTCTCCTCATCATTTTTGAGGCTCGACCTGATGCCGCTGTTCAGATTGCATCGCTAGCTATGAAGTCTGGCAATGCCTTACTCCTCAAGGGTGGCAAAGAAGCGCAGCGATCCAATGCAGCTCTTGTGACCGCAATGTCTGCAGCTTTGCAAGATGTCGGCCTTCCTGCGGATTGCATTCAAGGGGTTGACACCCGCACAGAAGTGGCGGAGCTCTTAAAGCAGGATAAGTACATCGACTTGGTCATTCCAAGAGGTTCCAATGAGTTGGTCAGGTCTATCAAGGATGCCTCTCGCATTCCTGTTATGGGCCATGCAGATGGAATCTGTGCCGTCTATGTCGACAGCAAGGCAGACCTCGAGAAAGCCGTGAAGATCGTTGTCGACTCCAAGACACACTACTGTGCGGCGTGCAACTCGATGGAGACGCTTTTGGTCCATGAAGATGTGTGCGCATCTTTTCTGCCCAAGCTCGCAGTGGCGTTGGAAGCAAAGGACGATGTGCACTACAAGGCAGATCCCAAGTGCTTACCCCATCTACCGGTAGCCCTTTCCGAGCCGGTGACGGAAGATGATTTTGACACCGAATTCCTGTGTCACACTATGGCTGTCAAGGCAGTTACTTCTGCCCAGGAAGCTATTGACCACATCAACAGCCACAGCTCTGGGCACACGGAGAGCATCGTCACGGAAGACCCCATGATCGCCGAAGCCTTTCTCAGCCGGATTGACTCGGCCGGTGTCTACCACAACTGCTCGACACGATTTGCTGATGGCTTCCGCTACGGCTTTGGAGCAGAGGTAGGCATATCCACAAATCGAATCCATGCACGAGGACCCGTCGGCCTGGAGGGTTGCTTGGTCCATCTTGGGGATCCGTTCTTTTGCTTTTTGGGAGCTTGGGGTTCCTAGTATAATTCAATGAGAACTAATCCTTCTGGCCCAGGTTTGGTCATCCACAAATACCGGATGTATGGAGATGGCCACACTGTCACAGGATTCGCAGGCACAACTCCCGAGCATGCATTCGTGCATTCCCCGGTACCTGGGGTGGCACGCGTCGACGACATCCCGCAGGCAAAGAAAGCCAGAACTTAAAGCAGAGGAGAGCAGCTCGGAAGACTTCAATCTTGTACAGAGTAGATTGATCTCTTGCCGTTACGAGGTGCAGTTGTTGCAATGCCTCGCAATACTTCAAACACACATCCGGTCCTTAGAGTCCAGCCGGACATCTTTGGTCCTGTACAGACCTTCATGTTCATTCAGGTTCATTGGTACATCTGTGCCATCAGACATGAGGCGCAGTGATGCAAAAATTGGAAGTTGCGTTTTGCCAACTTGTGCGCTGCTGCCGTGTGGAGACAGGTGCCAGACAGAATGAACGAGCTCATACTCATACTCAGACCCACTCACAGTAACACTGTGAAGGGCTTCCGGTCTGAATGTAGGTTGAGAGAGGAGGTCGGGTACTTGCAGGTCCAGCGTCTGAGGCTTAGGCCACTCAGGCCCACGATAGCTACAAACAGAAGAAGATGGGCTGTAGCTTGCTGGGGGTTCCCGAAAATAGGTACCCTAATATAGTACCCTAAATAGTAGGCTCCTTATTATAAGGACCCCCCCCCTAATTTTCGGAAACTCCCTGCTTGATCTGCAAAGGCATCTTCGAAGCGAGGCGATCCAACAGACCAAACAGGCAGGCATGCTTCGGCTGAAGGATGCCGTTGGGATTCAGGTTGCGGGGTGTTGGTCCATGAGAGCCCATAAGATGGTGTGGACCACTCCCAACAAGGAGCGATCGGGATGGCTCTTCTAGTGTGATCTCGAGGTGCGTGGCGGTTTGGACACGTGGGCAAAGAGAGCGAAGAAGCCTGTCTATGAAACGGTATTTCTTACAGGGACCTTAAATTAAAGATTCAGGCCCA